CGACACACATACATTGTCATCTACTTTAGAATCACCGGAAAAGTCTGCAAGAGTGTGATTTGAGCTTAAGAAGCAGTCCTGAAGAACCATCATCAACAAAAAAGACAAACATATTTTGTCGAGCAGATTGTCTGTGACAAGGCATCCGGTAATTGTTTGTGTAACACATCCGAACCTTTACAGGGGATGTCCACTGCGGGAGGTAGAACAGACCTGAATCCAGTCGACTTCTCAGGATGACGAGAGAACTTCTCATTGTCCAAAATAGCTAACAGGCATAGCAGAATCACGATAGGGGCCATTTTCCCAGACCAGCACAGCATCCGGATAGGCGCGCAAGCAGGCCCGAAACGTGGAGGCGCTCCGGTCTCTCCGCGTTATCCCCGGTGCAAAACCTCCTCAGCACAGCAGTATAGGATGACGTTTGTCATGAAAAATTATGTCTCAAGAATGTAGGGTTTGGGAATTATGGCAGTTTAAAAAAAAATATGAAGACAAATTTCAAGATTTCCTACACTCTAGCTGTGACATCACGCACTCTAGTTAATGTTAAAATCTGAAGAAAGCCTCTTTACCAAGGTCTGAACAATGTTTAATATCTCTAAAAGTAAGAATCAGATTTAAAAGTTGTGTTACACGAATAATGTCGGAAAGATGTTTAACATTTTAAAGTTGGAATGAGTGAAAGTATGAATGAGTTAGCAGTTGAAGTCGCATGAAGATTTGTTGAAGTGTGAAGAATTTCTCCATTGACTTCAATGGTTAAAAATGTGATGAATTATGGGATGTATCTCTGGAATTATGAAAGTTATGAATGAGAAAAGTAATAGCCATCGATTCCTGACCGAGCTGAACGTTTTGATGTTTGAACGGAATTTCTGCGATGTTCAATGCGGGAGAAGAAGACCGGCAAAATAACGGGCGGAATAATAATAAAGAATTTTGTGCGTAGAAGAACAGATAGTTGGAATGCTGTTAACAGCATTCCCACTAAATAACTAAAGAAGCAGTGGTAATAATAACAACAACATGAAAGAGTCACATCTAATAGAATATATTTATGCATTTATTTTAAATGTGAAGCAGTCAGTTTATAATTTTAGCAGCACTGTCCTTTCAAGCATCTTTGCAAGACTTTGTCTTTATATCTTTATAGCCAGAGGTGTAAAGTAACTAAGTACATTTACTCAAGTACTGTACTTAGTTACACTTTTGAGGTATTTGTTCTTTACTTTACTAGAGTATTGATAATGTTTTTCGACTTAGTACTTCTGCCCCATAAGTACTTCTGCACAATGACTACTCCTACTTTTGGTACTTTAACTATATTTTGATGATAAAACTGTTTCTACTTTAACTTGAGTAACATTTAGAATGCAGGACTTTTACTTGCAAGTCAACATAGTATTCCTACACTCTGGTACTTCTACTAATACTCAAGTATAAGACCTGAGTACTTCTACTCTTATTCAAGTACAAGATCTGAGTACTTCTCCCACCTCTGTTTATAGCCTTAACATAGGATCTAAAATATATGGATAATGTGAAGTTGTGTAACATTATGCCCACGAATAAATCTATTATAAAACTAAGGATTAAGCTAACATTAGGAGTTAGTGACAATGTATGCTAGTTAGCTAGCTAAACTATTTATTAAATAATATTGCGAAAAAGTAACTCACATTCACTGCACATCACGCTCAGCCACTCCAGCATACATCTTGCGCACCATTAAAAAAAAAAACACCTTGCATGGCATTGAACAACTCACTTTCACAGCAGGGTAGCTAGCTGCTACCGTAGATAGCTAGCTGCTACCTAGCTAACATTACTTTGTTTTCGGTCGTTTATCAAAATGTATACCATAGTTAGGACTTTGACGTTTGCAATGTTTTAAGTCTTGAGTGTTTTGAATCCGTTGATAAATAGTTTTTACCGTTACCTCTCAAAGTGCTGCTTCCTCTCCTCGCGTGCCGTGTTCTTCACCTCCTGCGTGCTTACTGCGTGGTCTCTCTGTACATAGATATACATAAACACGCGTTTGGGGGTGCGGGGGGGGTGCGGAGCCTCGCAGATGGGGGTGCTGCAGCCCCCTCAGCACCCCCCCTTCCCACGTCCACTGCTCAGGCTGAGTTCAGGCTGAGTTTCGCAATGTCTCGCTGTCTCGCAGACCCCACGCAGCAACCAGGAAAACGACACCAGTAATACAGCTCACACTGTCCGCTCCTCATGGCAGCGAGCCGCGCAACGTCCCGCCAACACGGCACTCAGACCCCACGCAGCATTCTCATCTGTTTGTCATTACTGGTGTCCAGTGGCGGCCGGCCCATAGGGGCGCTAGGGGCGCCGCCCCCCCCTCTTCCCACATTAAAAATTAAAAAAACTAAAAAATATATATTTTATTTTTATTTTTATTTTTAATAAACAAGGTAAATATTATATAATTGGTATCAGTAAAATGTATAATCTACAATAAAATCTCGTTTAAAATTGTGTTACGATGTCTAAAGTTACTGATAAGTCACATGTTTCCTGCCTGGCCTTGCCCGTGTATCATTACTCTCTCTCGTCTGGGCGCTATGCACAGCGCCCAGACGAGAGTGCAGCAAGTGCAGCAGAAGCCAACTGTTGCTATCTTTAAACTATGCCGCCGAAACATAATTTCAGCCAATCAGCGTCGTCAAATCTGATGGTCACAGGGCTCCTCCGTGAGCGCCCGGTGCAGTCTGTGAGTTGTTTGGACTCGTATCCAAGGAGACAAAACAGGAAGCTGTCATACACTCTGGAAGCTACCATTAGCAGCTAATGAAAACTCCGTTTTTGACATAAAAATGGAATTATGGATCATCAATCATTTTTCAAAGTGACAGACACATTGGATTAACCTATTGATTAACCTTCAGATGCGTTTTTCTCGTTTTTGATCAGAATTGTTATTCTGCAAAAGGTGAGCATATCTCCGTGTTTTGTTACCTAAAGCTACGTTGTGTGATGTCTGTATTCGCTTCCCCTGTCGCGAGTTCTGATCGCTCAGTGATGATACTTATATTTCTAGAATATGTGGAATCTCAGTTTGTAAGCTTGTTTGTGCATATCCGATAAGTATATCGATTGATTTATACCTAGAGTGCGTTAGCATTTTTTCGCTCAGGGCTCATTTAGACGCTTCTTGTGAGACTTGTGTATTGTTTCGGTAAACATGGTTCATATCATCAGTTAGCTGCGTTTCCTCTGAGTAGGACACATGAATAGTTTATTACATTTTAAGAAGCCCTGAGACACAGTTTTGTGAGGAAAAAAAACGGGGGAAAAAAGCCCCTTAACAGGTTAAATGGGAATTAAATCAGTGTTCCCAAAGCCCCGGTGTTCTGCAGTTTGTGTGGGCCTACTGTACTGTTGCACAGTTTATGCTGTAGAAACTATGTCCAGGACAAGGTGTTTGGAGGTTTTGGAAGATTCATAGCTAACCACACTGAAGTTATGGAGGTATTGATCAGTCTTCTCATATTTTTAAGCCTCAAATTGTCCTCCCCCCTCTAACATCACCAGAAGTCATAATTTAAGGGGTCTTTTCTCAAAAAATGTTAGCCCCACCTAAAATATTTTCCACCAGCCGCCACTGCTGGTGTCATTTTCTGGTTGCTAACAAACGCCATTGTAACACATAATCACTGACGTTCCACTGTGGGTGAACTCATCAGAACAGAGTGGGCGAGCTGACCAATCAGAGCACAGTGGGCTCATAGGGAGGGGGGGTCAGGAGCTCCAACAAGGCGTGTAGGACAGAGAGTGAATACACATACTATACAGAGATGCTGTATGAGAAACCAATGTGATTTTGGAAAATTGAACAATGTAAATCTATTCTAGTAGACCTCAATTATGGAATTATGATCAATAGAAATGGCCATGACATGGGACCTTTAAAGTCACACATTTTAGTCCATTGATACATTTCTAAAAGCTACTTCCTCTTTTTTTTGTGTTGAAAGACATCAGCAGGTCAATGTTACTTGGGTTGTGAATGCACCGAACTCTGTCTGTTAGTGCTTGTATATCCTCCCTGTGTGTGTAATGTGTTTAAACACAACAGAGTGGGTGAAGACATTTCCCTCTGAGGGATTAATAAAGTTTATCTTCTTCTTCTTCTTCTTCTTCTTCTACTTAGAAATCACAAGTGAATGGTCACATTAGGTTTGCCTGCAGTGAATGCTGACAGCTATTTTATTTAGCTAGTTTATAGATTTATGATGGCATAGACAAATGTCTCCTATATAACCCACACGTCTGTTACTTGTGGGTTATAGCATCATTTTATATCTGTACTGTGCTCTGGTAGGAATTCACACCCAACAGTCTGTTTTTCTTTGTGTATTTAACTCTATGGTTAATCCTGAAATTCACATATTTAACAATTCAATCCTCAAAGTAATACAAGTCAAAAATGTGTTAAAATGTAGTTGTTTTACTATAATGGGATAGTCAATACTATACAATAGCCATAACAAAAGTATTTTTTAGTAAAATTACAGAAAATGCAGCTAATTTTGCCAACAGAAAATCATTTATTTTTACGGTTAGTTTTGTTAAATTCGCATTTAAAAACTGCTATAAAACAGAGAAATAATGTGTTCCATTTCTACAGTTTGAGTTCAAATACATCACACATTTCAGTAAACCGTTTATTCTTGTAATTCTAATATGATTTCCTGTAATTATGAAATACAATAAAAAAACTGTTACATTTTTTGGGGAAAAACTTTTTTTTACAGTTTGCCTTTATCACCAAACCTGCCATTCACCTCACAAATGCTTTCTATGGTAACACTAGCGTCTACAGGAATAAATAAAAAATATCAATTGAATGACATAGCTTCTAGACATGTTTTAGATTATTAAACCATCTTGAGCCCACCCCCCTCACTGTCAACATTGTTCATGTTGTAGTTTAACCATTTTATAAATACCTAGATTGCTAAATATTTCTTAATTGTTTTCAGCCCTCCGATCAGAATCAAACACGTACAATAACGATGTACTCCGGATTGTGATGGTGGGGAAGACCGGAGTTGGGAAGAGCGCCACAGGAAACACCATTCTGGGAAAAGAGTCCTTTAAATCAAAGTTCTCTCCTAAATCTCTGACTGTAAACTGTTCTAATGCATTTGGTGAAGTTGATGGACAGAACGTTAAGGTTATTGACACTCCTGGTCTGTTTGACACCAAGATTGATGAAGAGAAGACCAAAAACGATGTTGGCCAGAGCATTTCTTTTGCTTCTCCTGGACCCCATGTCTTCCTGGTTGTCATCAGACTGGGCAGATTCACAGATGAAGAAAAGCAGACAGTGAAGAAGATTCAGCAAATCTTTGGAGGAGATGCAGACAAATACAGCATGGTTCTCTTTACTCACAGTGACCAGCTCGAAGGAGCACCTATCGAAGAGTTCTTGAAGGAAAGTGAAGAGCTGCAGGAACTTGTGGACAGATGTAACGGCCAGTACCACGTCTTCAATAATAAGGTGAAGGATCGTTCTCAGGTCAGAGAGCTGCTCGACAAGATCAGAAAGATAACAGAGAAGAACGGAGGAAGCCATTACACCAGTGCAATGTTCCAGGCGGCAGAGAAGGCCATAATAGAGGAGAAACAGAGAATCCTTGAAGAGAGAGAAGAAGAAATACGCAAACAGGAAGAGGAAATGGAACAAAGATTAGAGAAAAAGCATGAGGAACAATTTAAGAAAATCAAAGAGGATAGTGAGAGGTTAGTAAGGCAGATAGAAGCTCATGAAATAAAAATGGAGGAGGACAGGAGGAGAATGAGAGAAGAGGATGACAGGCTGATAGAAGCTCGCAAAATAGAAATGGAGGAGGACAGGAAGAGAATGAGAGAAGAGGAGGAAAGGCTGAGAGAAGCTCGCAAAATAGAAATGGAGGAGGACAGGAGGAGAATGAGAGAAGATGAGCAAAGGCTGAGAGAATGTAACAAAACAGAAATGGAGGAGGGGAGGAAGAGAATGAGAGAAGATGAAAATCTGAGAGAAGCTGAGAGAAGAGAAATAGAGGAGGAGAGGAGGAGAGACAGAATAGATGAGGAACAACTGAGAGAAGCTGAGAGAAGAGAAATAGAGGAGGAGAGGAGGATAGACAGAGAAGATGAGGAACAACTGAGAGAAGCTCAGAGAAGAGAATTGGATGAGGAGAGGAGGAGAGTAATGGAAAAGGAGGAGAAGCTGAGAGAGGCTCAGAGAAGACAATTGGATGAGAATAGTAGGAGATTAAGACAAGAGGAGGACAGGAGGGCCAGAGAGGAAGCAGAGAAAAAGAAATCTAAATGTACAATTTCATAGATTCCTTTTTTTAGGTAATACCTAACAACTGAGATGTTTTGCATGAGAGAGTCTGACCTTCTGATGCTGGACAGCAGCAGATTTACAGAACCTCCTTGCTAATCTTCAGTTTCTGATGTATTTGTTAGGTGTGATTTATAGTTATATCAGTTATTTCTAGGATTGTGTGTTTTGACCAAATACTAAACAAATGTCACACATTGTCTAGAACCAAGATCTCTGATTTGTTCTTTGATTGCTATTGCTTTTATCACAACAAATCAAAATGTTTAAATCTTTATTACACTACATTACATGACACTTTTATCCAAAGCGACTTACATACTCAATACTGTGGGCAATCCCCACAGGAGCAATTTGGGGCTAAGTGTATTGCCCAGGGACACAACGACATGCTGACTGCAGTGGGGTTTGAACCTGAGCTCCCCTGATCCGACCACCAACGTACTAGCCCACTGCGCCACAGCCTCCCAAGATCTCTGATTTGTTCTTTGATTGGTATTGCTTTAATCACAAAAAATCGAAATGTTTAAATCTTTATATGTAATGAATTTTGAAATCAAAAATGAAAAGGATGGAACACACATTAATGTGTAAAGACAAACATCTAGTGATTAATAATGTGCATTAATAAAGACTGTTGAGTTCACATTGAGTGTATTATGTGCTTTTGTTGTTTATCTAAGATTAAAAGAGGGTTTTAAGGGTCTATCTTAATAGAAATCACAGTATTATTCACAACTGGATCTAAATAAAAATGTAATTGAAAAGAAGAAATAATGCCTGAACCCATTAAAAGCTAACTGGAAATGAACGTGTGCTAAATCTGAGCATTTTAAATTGTGGTAACTTTAAGGATTTTCCATTATTGACCTTTATCTCCAGAAAATACCTTAAACTCCTTAATTGTCTCAATAATAGCTGAACTTTTTAATTGGTTTGGACAACCAATCACTACAGCTTTGGAGAGGAACTTTAAGGACAATCTGGTAAATACATTTGTTTGTAGCATGACAATTCTTCTGAAAACAGAGCCAAGCAGTTTGCATCAACACATGTATCTAAAGGGATAAGTTATCTTGGAACTATGTATCTTTGTTTTAAACATGATAAGGGTTCTTTGTAAACAGATATTACCCAGTAGTATTCACGTGTTAATAAGCCCACTTTTAAAATAAATTCAGTCAATTAGAACATGTTCTAACAATTCTTAATTAAAAAAAAAAGCCCAATAACTTGAACAAGCTTAAAATAGACCCTTCATATTTCCCCTTATAAGTAATCTGAGGCTTCTGTTTCAAGGAATGAGCTGAAAACACTGAATAAAGTAAACCCTCCGGAGAGCTGAGATGAAGGCTGTTTGTTTCTTGAAGCATATTCTAGTATCAAGAATAATTGACCTACATTTGATTGAAAAAGTTTGGACCCCCCTGATCTACATAATACAATATAACGAGTACTCTACATTACTGTCTCACTAGGCTACAGGAATATATAGAAATATACTACAGAATGGCGGTGGATTTAATATACATTATAATTATGCAAACTGTTCTTGGTTATAGAAGAAGAGACACTTAATAAGCTCTGGAGCAGGGAGTCCTCGACCAATCAGAGGGGAGGTGTTGATCAAAATATATTTATTTTACACAAGATCACATTACAAACCTTTAAAAACTAAATTCAGTAAATGGTGTTGATTTAGTTCATGTAAAATACATACATACATTACACAAACATACATACAGACTTTTGCAGCTAATATTTTAATAAGTTTTAGTGCTGGTCCGAAGGAATGCTCGGATATTAAAACATAAGAACATCTTCTATTTTCTTGCATTGTAGTCCAAAAATGTTGGGATGCTTTCCAGTGTTGGTTAACTTATAATGAACCAAACAGCCCAGACTCAAGACATGATAATATAACATTCAGCCTTCAATTTGAAAACAAAAAAACAGAGTTTGGAATTAGCTATATATTTCAAACACAAAAGTCGCTTTCTTAAAACATCCCCAGTATGAATTGGTTTTCTTAATGATATGAAATTATACCAAAAGTTTAAAAAAGCCCAACAATTTGAAAACATTTCGAAACACCTTAATTTCTGAGAGACCCCTTTTTATTTTCTGTTTTTTATGTTCCTAACGCCCTCCATTTTTTTTAAATGTGCCTTTACCTGATGTATTGGAATACAAAATAACTGGCAGGGGAAGGATAATGTTAGAGTGCTAAGTTGCACTAACTCTCCTACTTTTTAATTATATTTACTCCAGAGATGAGTAATGCAAACACAGAATGAATGTAATGGTGTTGATTTAGAACAGATAAAATACATGTTGCTCTCACAAAGAGTGAGGGTCCATTCCAGCAAAAAGTAAATGAGTCCAGGATTATTAAAAACAACTTGACTCTGCTTTTTTGACTGTAAATGAGTTTGAGTTTTTCGGATAGCTCAGCCTTTGGTGTCTCCTTGCTCCTTTATTATAGCTTCTATGGTATTTAAATGTGATTTGGATATGATGTGTTTTATTGAACCTTTTTGTAGCACATGGTTCATATGCAGACCACTAATGCCCTTTGCATGTGGAAAGTAAACAATGAAGTATTTCTTTCTCTTGTAAAGCCTGTCCTGCAGCATGTGTGCTTTCCTCTTCTGCTGCGGGGGGATTCCTTCACACAGCGTCTGTCTGATTGTACTGTCTCTCTCCTCAGATTTAAAAGCAGTTTTCAGGAAACCTAGAGCTGAAACTAGAGTCTGGGGGGCCGAGGAGGAACGACCGAGAGGAGGAACGCCTGAGAGGAGGAACAGAAGACGAGTGCAGCAAGTGTGTGTCTGACCTATTTCAAAACAACCCACACACTCCCCTCCTCCATGACCCTCCGTCTGCAGTCTCTCAGCTGAATGAAGATCCTTCTTTACGCTGAGGGACAAACAAACCCCCCTCCTCTCCGGCAGAAACAGGAACTGTGTTTAGTGGTGTTTCCTTTTTAGTAAACCCTCTTATTGTTTTGAAATCTGACTGCATTATTACTGACTCTTTTTTTAAACTTTCGGGTATCAAAAGTAGGTAAGGATTATTACTGACTCTAACCATCATTCACTGACAGCAGCATTAACGGGGTTTATAACAGAGTCAGGGAAACACCTAATGGATATGTGGCTTTAATTATGCATTTAAATACAGATATACAGAGGTGTAAAGTAACTAAGTAGCCTACATTTATTCAAATACTGTACTTTTGTGAGGTACTTGTACTTTACCTGAGTATTTCCATTGTATGCTACTGTGTACTTTTACCAATTTTGGGTAAAATAAAGTATAAAAACAAATAGATCAGTGCAGTTCCACAGACTGACCAGCAGGTTTGATTGATTGATTGAAAAGTTTATTAACAGCTTGTATATTGGGTACAGTACAGTACAGCTCAAAACATACAATTGTTAAGGGGATGCAGACCAGAGAAAGACTTTCGTCTTGTTTACATCAGGGTCCCCCATTTCCAATTCATCATATCATTTAAGACATATAAGACATATATGACATACAGATGGCTTATTTACAATTTACATACAGGTGGTTTTTTACATACAGATGGATTATTTACAATTTTCATTTTAGATTTCGTTCTAATACATCCTAACCGGACATTTAAGACATACCAAGTCTACAGATATACAGTTAGTAACAGAGTCTAAAATGCGAGTATATACATAGATGGGGGGGGGGAAGCTGTCCATTGTACGACAGGTTGAGATTTGTACCATTACCGGGGCCAGTTTTGCAATGCTTTCCCCCGAAGGTGCTCTTTAAGAGAGGTTTTGAAGGTAAGTATAGTTTTACTTTCCTTTACAGTTGTGGGAAGAGCGTTCCACCTTGATGTGGCATAAAGGTGTCAGGTGTCAGGTGTCAGGCTGTGGCCCCTAGAGAGGAAAACTAATGCAGGAAACTCTGCTCTACCAGCGTGAAGTTAGTTAAAAGCCCAAAGTGCCATAATTCGCACGTATATTTATATATATAAAGTTCAAGTGGTATGTTACTCAAGCACAAATAACAATGCACATTTTCTGTTTATTGTAATTTATATTGTCTTGTATAATAAATTAAGTTATACTCCATAGCCTACATGACCTAACCCAGTGGTTGTCAAACTTTTTCTGTCATTCCCCACTTTGAACAGGTGGGCCTTTTCAAGCCCCACCTGTTCCTCATCGCTCCAATAAAATGGTAGGCCAAGCTTAAAATTGTCAAATGTATCGTTCTATAGCAGGGGTCTCCAACCTTTTAGGGTGAGGGCTACTTTCAAAAAATAAAACAAGTCGTGAGCTACTTTTACTCCTCTTTTTTTTTTTTTGCAGTGTATATATTTAGCACATTTTAACATGATGATATGCTGACCTTTAACCTTTGTGTGCTGTTTGGGTCTGTGGGACCCGTTTGCAGTGTTTACTAAAATAACATGTATTCAATTTAATTATTTTAACCTGCTTTATTTGGGGGTGGACCTCCCCTCCACTAGGGTGGTCGGGGGGCATGCAACCCCGTGAAGATGTTTTTTTAAATGTTGAAGTGAAATGCATCAATCTGGAGCACTTTGAGCACAACATGAATTGATGGAAACAGCTCTCAACACTCAGATGAAAGGGAGCTGTAGACTTTTCAATAATCCAAACATCTTTAGAATATGATCACAACCAATAACAAATCATTTAAACTGGTTTATTCTTATCTTATGTTACCTAGTTAGCATTCTTTATTTCTATTTATGCATATTTTACTAATCACTCCCCTTTAAACTGTTTTTTTTTATTTTTTACTGTCCTATAGTACACATTGGAATGATTTCTTACTTTATTTTTTACAACCAGGCTATATTAAATAGATAAAGGTGTGCTCTCTCTCTCTCTGTCTCTCTGTCTCTCTCTAAACATAGACCTATTTTTAAAGTGGGGGGACACAAACGGGATTTCGAAAAGTGTCACGGTTAAACTCCTTATGAA